CAACCTATTCACTTACAGGTCTCTACAGGAACTGATGAATCATTTATTAAAGCACACATTAGTCATTTATTACTCTTTTATAAACCATTTATCAGTAGGTGTTCAAAATGTGAGCAAATCATATTTTACACTTAAGACTCACAGCACTAGTATATCTCAAATTCCACCCTGGTGATGTTTTGTTACATTACACAAATTTTATTCTGTTCACACACAACCACCTTTATTTAAATGGAAAATTAATTTCTAAGATTATATATTCTTAAAATATATTTTTTCCTTAAACTAGGAAAAATATTTCCCCAAATCTTAGTCTCCTGATGTGACAGAATTCTTTCTAATTTACATTGCTTTGTCCCAGAAGAGGATGGAAGTGGCAGAAAGAGGAATTGCCTCAAGAATGACACTGTCCCCTGGCCAAAAGCAGGCTCTCTATGAGCAAGTGAAAGCACTCTGACAAGTCCCACTTGGATGTGCTGCTGTCCCAAACCTGTGGTGAAGGTCAGATGGGAGAACTAGGTGGATGGTGGCAAAATCATCCCCTTGACTCACATCACTGCATTCCTCTCTCAAGCGCTTGATGCATTTCCTAAGACAATATAACCAATTTTAAGGAAAAAATAAAATATTACTAAAGCAATGGGAGCTTCTTCCTTGGGAACAGGTACTTTATAAATTCAGGACGGAAGCCAGAAGAGGGGGCCAATATCTCAGTGGAATCATATTTTTGAGCATATACTCTGCAATCAGTAATAGTATTGGATGAGAAGTAAGATTTGTTGTACTGTATTTTTAGAGGAGAAAGGATAGACAGAAAGAGGTGAAATCCATATTGTTGTCAGGTTGAAACAATATTTTTTCCAGCACTTGTCCTTAGGGCATATCTGGGCAGAACCACGCCTACAGAACAGACACAAGAGAATTATCTGCCAGCATGTGGCTCCCAGCAGATGCTACATTGCTAGTTTTTTTATCACACTTCAACCACACTGACATTAAATGTAGACTAAAATCACTGTTTTGCAGGCATACAACACTGCAGTGATCTGTCACCAATTGTTAAAGTGACACAAGAAAATAATTCTCAATTTTCTTAACGTGCTACGTATAAAAACAATACTCAGCACCATTAGCATTCACTCGGTCTAACTCATTCCCGCACAGTTTGAACATCCTGCAGGAAACAAACCAGGTATCAGATTTTCCAGAACGATCAATTCCCACTTCTTGCTTTGCTTCATTTCTTACTTTCACATCAGTAATCCCTTGCTGCTAAACAATAGTTGAGCCTAAGCCCTTAACTTGCCGGAAAGGAAACAAAATTGCTCTTTGTGATACAAAATACACATAATATTTAGTAATAATTCACAAAATTGATTTAAAAATGTTCTCATATTGTAGAAATAGAGTTGTACATTTTAAAAGCTTTATGAAAAAAGATGCCACCAACTTTACAAGCATCTCTGTTTCCACTCTCTGTAATTTAAAACTGGCACAATATCCTAGCCATTGCGACCTTTTAAAAGGTAGACCTTGCTACCTCACCTGGGATTTTTGGAAGAGCTCTTAAAACACTGCTCTTTCAGGCATTAAAGACAAAATTATTTAAACCCCTGGAGGGAGCAGGCTACTGTTTGCACATCTGAATGGAATTTTGCACTGCTCAGAGCCCATTATGAACCATAAGGGTAAGTATATACGTGAAAATGAACAAGGCAGATATTTTGGAGGTGTGTAAAGTGACGGGGCAGCAACAAAATAATTAACTGGGCTGAATCCCACAAAGCAGTGTCTCATAGATTAACCAGTCAAAGCACCTCACACATATAAATAACCTCAAGGGTTTAAACTATTCCTCTGAAATTAACGGAAATGCCGTGTTGGATCACAGCCAGATTTCTCAGCTTCATCTGTGATTATGTGCTGACACACCATCAATGAATTTTTCCCTAAGCACAAAGGTCACAACTGCATGAGAATGTCATGGGTGTGGTATGCAGGGGACTGAAATAGCAGATGGAAGAACAGATTCCCTAAACAAATACCCCCTTCTTCCAGCAGCATCTACATAACCCAATAGGTGTTACTACAAAACTGTGTAGAGCAAGAAAAGGCATTTAGACCTTTCTGAAAACATCAAAGAAGGCCTGTTAATGGGTAGTTGGAATAGTTTTGTAAGGACCTGACCTCCAAGGAATAAATATAGTAAATAGTGAGTATACAAAAGTGTATTGTTGCTTAGGGGTAGATCCATAAACTTGTTTCCAGGGGGGAAAAAAGAGGAAGAGATTGGTCAAGTGTCAAAAGATCTCATCTACAATGGACAGAGTCATGCTCCCGCATGGCTGAGATTGCCTTGAACTCAAAGAAATACCTGTTAACACATACCCGACTCCTTGGAAATACAAATATATAGAAATATAGAAATGTTCACCTTTGGAGAAAGCTATGAAAAAATCATTAAACTTCTGTCTTGGCATTAATATTGCTGAAATCATACATATCTTTAGGACATATATAACAATGCCTTCTACATTCTACAAAACACCATTCAGTGCAGAGTCTGGGGTACCCAGTGTGGTACTTAGAGTAACCAGACTTGTGAACAAATCCCTCTCTCATAGCTTCATTGCCTTTCAATGTGTCAGATCAAGAATTAATTTGGCCCCTGTGTTTACAGATGAAGAGAGCGCATTGAAAACTCGGCTTAATCAACAGCATATGACAAAGGCAGAGCTATTTTAGGTACAAATCACACTATCAGAAGAAAACACAGGCCAGTAAATAAGCTTTTGTTTTACAAAAGGGAAAAAGGCACTGAGAGAAAGTATCTTTAAAGAGAAGGAGGACAGCTGGGAAAACATGTCAATACCATAAGAACCCAACCCGAAAGCAGACAGTCTCAAAGTAAATAGAAGATGCACTGAAATCAACCCTTCAGATTTACTGAATGTGAGCTTTCTACATCAAAAGTTATCTTATAGAACATGTCTTTTTCTTTCAAGACTTCTTCAAATCAATAGTATTGCAGCATGTGGAATGTGACTGCTATTAAAATACAGTGACAAAGTACTTGAAGCAGTAAGCCAAATAAAGTGGCATTAGCGCTATTAATAGACACTCTCCTTCCTCTTACAATGCTTATTTTAAATAGAGCATGTGTTTCTGAAGGGGCCTGCCACCATACAGCTAAAGACCAATTTTTATTGTCTTATTCGTGGAATAAAAATATTACTTAGCAAGGCAGAGGGAAGATTTCTGAGGTCATTAACACCTCTAAATAGCGAAAGTTTCAAAACCATGCCACAATGTATTAAACCCCCCCCAGATATCTCTATAAGAAAATCTGTATATCATAGGAAGTGCGAGAAAAATGAATAAGACTGGACTTTTCAAAGAAAGCTACATAGTGCTGTCCCTCCACACTTGCTATTTTATTTCAAGGGTACGGACTACCCTTTAATATCACTGACTAAATGAATTGGTAAACATTTCTGAACTTCCACAGAAACTGTCGAACAGTACCTTTAGGGCTAAGCAGGCACCAAAGTTTTTTAACATGCTTGCCCAAATTACCAGAAGGAAGACTATTAAGTAAATCAAGAAATATTCTTATAAGAAGATTGCTTCAAAAGAAGAAATCTCAAAGTTTGGGAATTCAGTAGGTAGGACTATGAATGACATGAACCATTATCAATATTAATATAATTACTTTCTATTTCTAAATACACCATGTTATCATTGTTATATTCCAGAGGACTAAAAAAATACATTATTTTAAATATATTTTAAATCTTGATTGTCAGGAAAAAGCTTTCAAGCATTAAAAGTCTGATGTAAACAGTAATTCTAAGGGAATTAATAGTTTGATCACAGTATCCTAGTTATCACCTATGTACTTGGAAAGGTTTGGATCAGGCTCTCCATAGCACCTTTAGGTGACTGAAATGCCCTTGCCAAAGCTTTTACTTCAGTAAAATCTGTTTTCAAACTGCTAAATTTAGGCCAGGGAAAATAAAAAGAAGATAGAAACATACCTTAAGGAGAAAACCAAGCCTTTTATAGCAACAGGCTTTTCTTTTCTTCTAACACTACCTTAGAATCAGCATCCCTCATGCTTACTTCTCACCTTTTGGGAATATTCCTTAAAATCTGCAGAGCCTCAGGAAACTTTTACAGCAAAATCCAAACCAGTTGTTATTAGATAAAACTTGACACCATCTAATTCTCTCCAGGGACCAGAGGCCAAAAAAACAACCAACCAAAAAAAAAAAAAATCAGACTAATAATAAATGTAGGGGAAGGAAGGGGTCAGTGTGCGAAGGGCAGGAAATCTGGTAGATGTTTTGCCTGAAACCAGAAATGTCATAGTACTGTGTGCTGATTTTAGCACACTATTACACTCCCCTGCAGGCAGTGAATGTCTTTTGTTTGAGGCTTTTTTTCCAGACTTTTCAACATTCTTCAGTGGAATTTAACTTGCAGGGAAAAAAAATCTTTCCTTGCAAATTTGACCTGTAGGTTGAATTTAAAGCTTTTAAGACTAAAGCTTCTGTTACAGAACTCTCAAAACTAGCCGCCTCACAGGTGAAATACTGGAGGTAGGACAAAACATGTTGCTTTCATGCATGTTCCTGACCATTAACACCCCAAGCTAGAACACAGGCAGAAGGGAATTCTCTATTTTCCACCATAGGAACAGAAGGAGAAAGTTACCACTATGGCAAACTTATTTAACATGTTTTCATCTTTCTAGCCAGCCTCTGAAAATTAACTCTTGACATAGATTTTTAACTTGTAGTTGCATTTTGTTTTGGAAATCATTCATACAAATCTATTAATGTAAAAGAAAAAAAGAGCAGGTCCAGGAAAGTCTGTCACACTGAGCTACAAAGATTTCTTTAATTATTTTCTTCCACTAAGGAACATTTTTATATTTAGAAACAAGCTAATTACAATTACATGCACCATTCTGTAGAACACAGATGGCAAACTCTTACCTCCTTCTTGGTAAATTCTGGTGGATGATCATTCTTGTCATCGATAAGAATAGTGGCAGTTGCTGTACCAGTGAGTCCCACATCAAGACCACCCATATCCTTAGCTTCTATAACTAGCTCGTATTTTGGGGTTTCCATAGTCTGAAAAAATAACAGCAAATGAAAGGTTAAAAAACCCAAACTGAATACCCACATCAGATTACATACCACTTTTAATTCACATTAAAATAATAAAATATAAAAAACCTAAAACTTACTTTAGCCTGATAAAACAGCATAGAAACAAATCTGCTATCACATTGTTTTACCAAAACAGCCCAGCTTTTCATGAGCTTCAGTTGCTGCAATGGAAACCTTATGTGGAATACAGGTGAATATTGGTAAACAGTACATAATCTATCTATTTAAGGAGATTGGGAAAGAGAAAAGAAGTGAAAATATACCTGCTCTTTAAGAATAAGCACTCATTTCAGTGTACTAATATTTAGCAGCTTGCTTCATCAGTGCTATGATGGGTACATCATTAAATACTAATGCCACAATCTACATAGAAATTCACTTTATTTTATTAAATCGTATTCATTCTGTTTATTACCATTTAGAATGGCAATCTAAGTTTGCTTCACTGTAAGAAGCAAGAAAGCAGTTTCTAAAATGGGCAACGACTTCCAGTTATTGTACAAAGCAAATGTGTATAGTAACATTAAGAATTTACATCTATAATATCTGATTCCTATGTCATGGCTACTTATCTGACTGACTACCTAATTGTAGAATCAGAGAGCCTAGATCCATAGCAAAAGCCATCCTTAATTTCCTTCCTCCAGAAGACAGTCATAACTCAGAAAAATCCCCTGTAGCCACTATCCTGCAATGGGAATGTTACAGCATTTCTAATTCATCTCTCTCGCATCAGGCATGAAGGCATACCTCTCTGTAAGCTGGACAGTGGGGTAGTAATACATCCCACCAAAGGGAGCCGTTCTCAACATCAGAACCTGCTCCCATGGAACTCACAGAGAATTTTGACATGGATTTCACTGGAGACAATACTGGGCACCTAATTAAAATGAATATTTCCCCATTTGTATGGCTGCCTTATATGGAACCATCTGCCCGAAGACCATATGCGCTGCATTATCAATGGAGATCACAGATGGGAGAGTGCTGCAGTCACCTTTAAAACTACATGTAGGAATATAACGTGTGCTCGGGAATGTTTTTTCAAACCTTCCTTGAAAAATAAGTCTGGATCTCAGGGGCAAAACAGCATAATGATGCCAGAAAGGGTGGCTAAGGCACCACTGAGAGAGGGCTTTTGTAACCTCAGACCAGCCCCATGAGCCAGCTTGGTTACATGAGCCAAGGCTACACATCTTTGACATCACTCATCCAGTGTCCTTCATCTAACACTTTTCCAGGGAATTAACATGCAGGGAGACAAGTGGTGCGAAACTCCGTATAGCAACACAATAATCTCTGTTTACCACCCATACACTGCCTTATAAAGCAGAATTCAGGGAAGCTGAAGTAGGGTTTATCCCATAACAGAGAACACAGAATCACGGAATGGTTTGGGATGGAAGGGACTTTAAAGTCCATCCAGTTCCAACCCCCCTGCCATGGGCAGGGACACCTTCCACCAGACCAGGTTGCGCAAAGCCCCATCCCACCTGACCTTGAATATTTTCAAGGTTGGAGCATCTACCACCTCTGGGCAACCTGTGCCAGTGCCTCACCACCCTCATTGTAAAAAATTTCTTCCTCGTATCTAGTCTGAATTTCCCTTCTTTTAGTCCCGTTACCCCTTGTCGTGTCACTCCCTGCCCTTGTAAAAAGCCCTCCCCCAGCTTTCTTGTAGCACCCCCCTACCCAGCACTGGAAGGGGCTTTAAGGTCTCCCTGGAGCTTTCTTTCTCCAGGCTGAACCCCCTAACTCATCCAGCCTGTCCCCACAGCAGAGGGGCGCCAGCCCTCAGAGCATCTCCATGGCCTCCTCTTGACTCTCTCCAACAGGTCTGTGTCCTTCTGATGTTGGGGGCTCCAGAACTGGACACACAGCAGCAGGTGAGGTCTCACCAGAGCTGAGAAGAGCAGAGTGCGCACATGACCGGCTCATGTCCAGCATTTTGTCCCCCAGTACCCCCAAATCCTTCTCCTCGGGGCTGCTCCCAATCCATTTATCCCTCTGCCTGTATCTCACTATTTAAAATTTTAAAAGACTTATTTCTCGTCTCTATCTTAACAACACAACCTCTTGGACAACACAATCTTCTCTGTAGCTGTGATTTGAAAACATTCATTCAATAGTGCTTTTTGCATTATGAATTTTCCTGGGTACACCACAACTCCCTTGTTGGAGCATGTGTAAGAAGGAGATCCCAATTCCTTAGCACTTATATACTGAACCACTTTTAGCCCACGAGAGCAGCAACAATATGAGTTGCTCACCAGACCAGCTATTATCAAGGAACATCTTTTCATGTAAAATCATTGAGTCAAGTCAGAAGATATGTTTACTTCTAAAAACATATGGACTACTAGAAAATCAGATGCCACTGCCACTTAAGGGATCCTAAGAAATATATTTTCTTAAGTCTTACATCATTATTGCATAAAATTCATCTCAGAAGTCAGCAAACCCAGAACAGGATTTTGATTTATAACATCATATAAACATACGCAAAGAAATATTACTGACATGTCTCCAAGACAAATTTAGATTAGAGTGGAACAAAATTTACAGTTTTCATTTTTTTTTTTTTTTTTTAATGTTTTCAATGTAATAGAACTTGAATGAAGCTTCTCTCCCCATTCCTGGATGCAACTTTTTCATTATTTTGATTGGGAAGTTGTTATTATTGTATGGAAAACTTGCAGAGCCATTTATCACTTCATGTTTATAAGCCTCTTTGCTCAGAAATAAGTCCATTTTTACTCACAAATTGGCCTTTTTTCCTTTGAAAACTGTTCCATTTTCTATTGAAAGCAAGCCCATTTATGCTAGAAATTGTGTCTACTGCAGCAGAAATTTCTGTGACAGGAGTCCAATGTTTAAGCTTGCAACGGAATGTGAAAAACATTGAATTTTGAGTAGCATTTCATATCATTATGAATACTTCACACTTTCCTGCTATGCAGCACTTGCTACATCTAGTTCTGTCACCAAATATTTGCTTTGCTAGAGAAAGCAACTTCTAACAGATCCAAAACCGAGAGCAGAGGCATGTTCCCATCAGATGCTCTCTTTACACTAGGAGACTGCATGTAAAGGACTTTTTAGCATTTCCCGTACTAGCCCAGTCAATTCAGGCACTAGTAGCAATTATTTGGATCTGCATGTTTTATCACACTACTGGCAAATCCTGGGGGACAAGAGTGGGGATCTGTGGGCAGAGCATGACTCCCTGTGCTCTTACTAACCCCCTTCCTCAGCTGATGACACTGCAGAGGGCCGGGGTCTGTGCAGGGGGCATCCCCCGCAGTGCAAGCTCTCATGGAAAATACTCATCTTTTCCCTCTCCACAGGGCTCAGCCTCTTATCCCAGTGGGGTCTCTCCCTGAACTTGCTCCCATCTTGTGAGAAATGAGTGGTCCTGGAAGAGGACAGCAGAGTGGAAAAGCAGCTTGCCTTCGCTTTCTCCATCCCTGCTATGCTGTGCGCATTAGGGATAAAGGCAGCACCCAGTATTGGCAGCATGTTGAGACGCCCCAGTCACTCAGACTGTTGTCCCACCATGCCTGTCCCTAAACACAGACTCCCTGCTTCCCGCCGCAGTGACCTTGCCCCTGAAGCACACTCTTGCAAAACCAATCCAATTAATACAATTTGGATAGTGCGATGTTAGCAATATAAATATGTAACAGCTCTCAACAAAGTGGATCTACAGCTAAAAAGGATAATAGATTATTTTAACAAATGAACATTAAGTCGCTCTTTGTGTGGCTTATTATTGCTCCACTGTGACTTTGCGGAGTGTAACACTGTTGAGAGAGTTTGTATAATTACAGCAGGAGAACCATTCCCTTCCCCATCAATTTTCACTCCAGTCATTTAGCCACGGCAGGGGTGACACTGGCAAATTGTGTGGCTTGAGTGCTTTTCTCTGAAGGTCCACCCACTGCCACTCTCGCCCGTGTTAACATTCCTATCAGATTTCACTCCTGCTGCCCTGACATAACGGATTCAGCACGGGTAAGCAACAAGAGGCCGGAAAGGCACTGTTCAGATTTCAAATTCCTGACAAAGCCAGCAGGATCCAATCACAACAGAGGGAAATAAACATTTCAGTGCAAATACATGCAGGTGGAACAAACCAAGTGACTACTTTTCAGCAGTGCTGAATGAAACCAGATAATGACGGCTTGCTGCTGAGTCTTACTCTCCTAATATTTTTTCCAGATACAATAAAAAAAAATAGCAGTGTCTTAAGAGAAGCAAGCCATGGCTAGTATTTCACACCACCAGCAGTAACAGGCCAAGTCCTGGAATGGGCTACCACTTGAAGGCTGAGGCATTCATGTGCCATTTAAATTCAGCTGGAATTTACAGCAGCTCCAGTACAATAGGACCAAAAATGTAAGATGGAAAAAAGTGGAATTACTTGCAGGATTACAAGAAAGGTTTAAGACCCTTAGGTGACCACTGACATTTTCAAACGTGTCTAAGTCCTGAATTTCCAGTTACGGACATGGACTCTCAGAGCCTCGGTATTGCTAAAACAACAAATCCCCTCTGTAACTTCAGATGTCCAAAGCTTTTAGAAGTGTGCCCACTGTATCTCCCCTTGTTTATTTATATACTGAGGAAGTCAATGTTTTTACTGACACCTGTCTTTTTTCTATCTACCTTTAGACATTAAGAGTCTGCTTTATTGGAGCATCGCTGCCATGGAGTCAAAGGAGAGAAGCCATTTCTGAATTTGTCTGCACTGATGATCACAGGAACTCTGTGCTCCCCAGTGCATGTGCCTTGGGGCATGGCTAAAGCTGGTTCTTAACGGCTTGATAAAGATCACAAAAAGTAGCAACAAAGTGAGGAACCGAAATCACATTCTGGCACCACATTAAAGGAGCATATCCTAGGAGTGCGTGATTAATTGTTTATCTAGATTCGATGGCTCCCGTAACTCTGCCTTTGGT